AAAAAAAAAACACTTCACTTGTCCCTTTTAGACTTGCACTCTATTCATTTGCTGCTTGTTTTCTTTAAAAAAATAACAACTAACACTTGCTTTCTAATCTTTTTGTATTCTATCTGTTTTCTTTTCATTTATTATACAATTAACGAAAGCAAAAAAGACCTCTAACACTAGCTTGCTCTATTCTTTTTCTATTCTATCTGTTTTCTTTTTATTTATTATATTATTTAAAAAACCCTTGCTATGTGTACTGCGTTAAGCTAACTGAGACTTGTTATAGCACTTGTATATCATTGCTCTTTTGTTGATTTTGATTGCTTCCATTGTCCTCATTTGTAAGTCGCTTTGGATAAAAGCGTCTGCTAAATGACTAAATGTAAATGTAAATACACATGTATTAGTACAACTAGTATTCAGCCCAGTTAAGTGAAGTTGTGTGCGTTCTACAAATGTTCTTTGTAGGCTTTTATTTTTAATTTTTTTATTTAACTGTGTATAAGATGAAGTAGGTTGAGTTTGACAGGAAAGAGAATAACACAACACAGATTATGACATTTTTAGATCAATTATTAATGTACTTGGTATTTTCTATATTTGATAAGGAGGATCAGTGAAAATAATTACAATTAGGAATCTATATCTTCAAGAGGCTTTGTACTAAATTTTGTTAAGAGTTGTACTAAGAGTTTGTACAAGATTTTCATTTAGTTAATCTTAAATACTTAAGTGAGTCTAGAGGTCACATTTTCCTCTGGAGTCACATTGTAAAAAAATGTACATTTATGACCCTGCTGATTGAAGAGCTCACAAACAGCAAAACTGACCCCACCAAGCTAATGTAATACAGACATTTGAAATTCAGTGAAAGACAAAATATCTCTGATAGTCATAGTTTTGTGAATGTGTACAATTTTGATTGGTGGAAAGTTCATAATCCCAATTAATTAATTCATTAATGAAACCACGTCACATTATCTCTCATATGGCTGAAAAAAAAAAAATCTAAAACATGTTTTTTCTTTCTGAAACGTGTGTTCTTTCTCCAAGGTTAAAACCATTGCTTCCACAATGGCTAGCTACAGTATGTAATCTCTTATATTCTAAAATTCATTTATTTGTTATGGCTTTACAAGTTATCACTCAGTAAGTATTTGTTTTTAATTCTCTAATAGGTCCTAAAAGAATGCGCTTTCATGATGAATCATCGGTTTCACATAACCGTGCCTCTGCAATTACCTGCGCAGAATCACCACTGACAACAGGTAAGTCAATTCGATAATTAAAAAAAAAAAAAATAATAATAATAATTAGAACAAACCAGTTATCTTAAAATGTATTATACAGTTTATTTTATATATCACCTTTAATTAACTATTTTCTTCCAATGGACAGATATGGCCATCATGGTGCAAACAAAGCAAATAATGGAAGGTGTAAATATTCAAATTCAAGCCGTAAAAAACATTGACCAGCCCATGACTACATTAAAATCCTACATAGTGTAAGTGTTTACTTAGACACAGTATGGAATATATTTGTCTATATAACTTTTTTTGACAAGCATGCATCCTCAGATCCTCTGTTTCATCTGTATAATGCACAGAGATGTCATTTCAAAGATGGATCAGATAGATAAAGACAACAGAAGGAAAGCAACAATAGGGATATTTGGACAATCAGGACATGGAAAGAGCTCCCTAATAAATGCAATCCTGGGAGAAGAGGATCTACTGCCACCTGGTAGTTTAGGTGCCTGTACAGCTGTTGTTACTCAGGTGGAAGCCAATCTGGATGACTCCAACTACACAGCAGAGATCGAACTCTACTCTAAAGAGGTTTCAGTATTATCTATAGTATTATAGTAGTATTTCTTCAGTATTATATTCTTACCATGATTTTTTAAAACTTAAACAAACAAATTGATGATTGGAATTAAAGGGTTACTTCACCCCAAAATAAAAATTGTCATCATTTACTCACCCTCATGTCATTCCAAACCCATAAGAAATTCGGAATCTTCAGAACGCAAATATATTTTTAATAAAATCTGAGAGATGTTTGTCCCTCTGTTCAAAGTCTCTTCACAAAATTTAAGTGAATTGAACTTTTAGTTCCGGGTTAATGATGCAAGACGCACAGCCAAAGTAGCAAGCTCTAAATTCTTACCTACAGATCTTTGTTTCTCTGTTATCTTCATTTGTGTTCTGAACATGAACACATTTTTTATGGGTTTGGAATAACATGGGAGGGTGAGTACATGACAAAATTTTCATTTTGGGGTGAACTAACCCTTTAAGAATATGATGTTTTTATTTCATTGGATGCTTTGTGTATTTGCAGGAGTGGGACAAAATGCTCCAAGTACTTTTCAGAGTTTTGTCAGATGACAGTGAGGATAGGGATGATGAAATGTTTGAAAGTGCTAAAGAAAAGATTACTGCAGTGTATGGAGAAGATGCAGATAAGAAAAAATTTGAAGAACTTAAAAAAGATGAGAAATTTGCTGAAATCATCAACTTTTTGTCTGACAGTGAAAAAATCATCTCAAAAAGAGAAGTATGTTTTATAGCAAGCTAAATATGTCTAATTTTCTATTAATAATGCCTAATAAGTGTAAACATGACATTCAGAATTTGGAGTAATGAAATCATATTTAAATCAACATTACATTTTTTTTTATTTTTTTTTAACAGAGATCTGACTTTGTCAATGAAGTTGCATGTTTCATACAATATAGTGTGGCAAGTCCCGGTGGCTGGTACTGGCCACTTGTAAAGAGTGTGAAAATCAAGATTCCAAACTGTGATGAACTTTTGAAACACATTGTCCTTCTTGATCTTCCTGGGATTGGAGATTGCAATAAGACTAGAGAAGACCTGTGGAAATCTGTAAATACAACACTCTTTTTGAACAACTGTCCCCCCAATTAACATCCTTTTTAACAATAGAATATGCGTGCTTATTGAAAATGTACAATAATACATAATTGACTATGCTACTGCAAGTGTAAGAGTTATCCTTGTGTAACAATTTTTGTATATTTCTAACCCTACAGAAACTGAGAGAGTGCTCTTCTGTGTGGATTGTAAGTGATATCAGTCGAGCAATCACTGACAAAGATCCCTGGGGGATATTAAAGCACTGCATTCAGGACTTGGGACCAGGAGGAGAATGTAAAAACATTAGCTTCATCTGTACAAAGACTGATGATATCAATCCAGGAGCCTATATGAGGTTACAACTATAAATTATTACACAGCAATAAGGAGACGACAAAGATCATAAGTGATTTTACTTAATGAAACATTATTTCAGTTCCATATATTAATATTTAATTTTTATTTAGATCTTCACGGCTGACTAAAGATGAAATAGGAAACAAGGTTTGGTACATTTCAAAGAAGCTACATTTTCTAGCTATAGTTGTTTAGTTTACACATTTTTGCTTTTATGTCAGTAGTCACAAAAAAATACTAAGATGTTATGTATGCAGTGACAAAATCTCTGTATTTTTTATACTATATCATTATGACTTTTGAATTATTTTTCAGGATCAGACAGCAGTGTGCATACTTCACAGAAACAAAACCACTAAGGAATCAGTAAAAAAAAAATTTGAAAGTTTGAATCCTGGAACCAAAGTAATAGCTTTTTTTTTTTTTTACTATTTTTTGTTCCCTTTTCAGTTTTTTTTGTTGTTGTTGTGATCCTCATTATCATTGTTATTATTTTTAAAGAAACTGATGGAGAAATTCAGCACTGAAGTTTTTACTGTAAGCTCCAAGTCATTTTTCAAGCAAAATTCAAATTTGGAACCCACTGAAACAGGTAATGTATTACCAAAGAAAATGAAAAGTGTGGTTGCCTTGCAATTACTGTAATTAAGTGGTTCCCTTTCAGTCGGTCACGTTCGATGTCACGTCGGACGTACCGACGAATTGGGATCTCGTCTGAGAGCCCTATCGTCTTCCAGTGTAAACTAAACGAGCCAATGCATATTGGCATACAAGATTTGCATCTCGCGCTCCGCCCCGCAGCGCGGGTATAAATGCAGAAGCGGGTGCAATGCATGTTCAGCTTTTTGCTTCGGAGCCGAGTGGTTCTATTGTTCTGCTCTGCCTGTCATCTGAAGAGGATTCTGACGAGTCTACGAGCGCTCTGGGGAAGACGGTTCTTCAAAATTGGTGTTGGTGTGACGGCGCTGCAGCTGTGGTTTCCCCGTGTGCTTCAGCACTGTGAAAGAGCGAGTCTCCCTAAAACAGCAAGACACAGGTGTGACGTTGCATCTTTGTACAGATAGGGTGACCATATTTTAGTTTTCCAAAAAGAGGACGGGGGGGTTCGTGGGTGGGGTTTCGCTTAAAAGAAAACATAGCAATCGTTTTTTTGTGCTTGTTTTGTTTTTATAATAAATAAAAATAAAACAAGTCAATAGAACAGAAAGAATAGAGAATGCTTGTGTTAAAGGCTCTTTTTACGTTTTAAATAAAACAAGTAGTTAGAATAGAAATAGAGTGCAAATGTTAGAGGGTCAAATTTCTTTAATAAAAAAACAAGCAGATAAAATTAGAATTAGCATTATAATAGAGTGCTAGATTTTAGAGGGTCAAATGGAGATGAAAGAGATGTGTTTTCAGCTGTTTCTTGAAAATGATTAAGGACACAGCTGCTTGGATTGAGTTGGGCAGGTCATTCCAGCTGGAGGGAACAGTTAATGTAAAAGTCCATGAAAGTTTTATCAACGGTAGAATGCAAAATGTTTCAATACAGGCATTTTAGTCAAATGTAATTTATGCAATATTTCAAACCTTTAACCCACTTGGGAAAATCAACCCATGGCAACAGTTTAAAAGTATCCTAATTCTGTGGAAAAAAACGCGAACTTGGCAACCCTGCATCCAAGAAGAGCTGCCGGAGTCAGATTTGACTGATCTCAGCTTGAGAATAAGATGTGCTCCCTTTACACAGAGCGCGTGTGATCGCGAAATCGAAAGCGAACAGCACGAACGCTCATTCAAAAGATATTAAAATACTCCGCATACTGAGAGCGGCTCCCTGATGCGCCAAAATTATACACAATATTAGAATGTTTAAAGGAATGGACACGAAAATCATGGGAGTGAAAAACATGTTGTGGGAGCAGGCGGCAATGGTCAGAAATTCAGCAGGACCGGGATAAAGAAAACAGCTGAATCCCGGACATTTTGGGCGATTTAAGAAATCCCGGCCCGACGCATTTTTTTAGGTCCAAAAAGAGGACATGTCCGGGGAAAAGAGGACGTATGGTCACCCTAGTAAAGATGATGGTGTGTCTTTTTAAAGATATCATTCCACCCGTGTGTTTCTGGATGCAGTCGTTACCTGGCGCCGGGTGACAGTCACAATCGTTGCCTCACGTGTTTGGGCATTAAGCACGCTGAGGCTGCTTTTGTGGATGAATCATGCTCTCACTGTGGGAGGATGACCATCTCGGTGTTGCGGTCGAGACTCCAATACCTCAGAAGAGGTGGAGTCCCCTTACCTATGCCCCGATCTAGATCTTCTTCTGTGCAACAGAAGAGGGTTACTTCGGTGAATAGCCAGGGTGACCTGAGGGTTACAGTGGGGGCCAACCTGTCCAAGCTGTGGAGCTTCCGGGTGAACGTGCCGGTCCTTCTCACAGGGTACTGGCTGTCTCATTCGGGGCTCCTCCGCATGACCAGATGTCGATTGCGGCATCGGAGGGTGAGCTGGAGTCCAGGGATGTGGACTCGGCTGCGTTGCCTCCTTCGGGGAGAGTAGCGTTGCCCGAGCCTGACCCCGGAACTGACAACTATGCTTTCCCGGGCCGCCAAAGCGGTCGGGCTCGAGTGGAGAGATCCACTGTGTCTTGAGCTGTCAAGGTTGGACGATTGGTATCTCAGGGCAGCCTGGGCTGGTTTTCAGCCCCCTGCCCCAGTGCCATTCTTTCTGGAAATGCATGAGGAGGTAACTAGATCATGGACGGCTCCTTTTTCTGCCCGAAACCGGTCTGGTACCTCCTCCCCCCTCACTACCCTCGATGGTGGGGGGGGCCAAGGGGTACGTGGCAATCCCCCCGGTGGAGCGCGCGGTTGCAATGTGTCCAAGGAGCGCTTCCACCTGGAGGGGTAACCCGCGTCTCCCATCCAAGGCCTGTAAGTTCTCGTCCGTTCTCACGGCCAAGGCTTACAGAGCAGCTGGACAGGCTGACTCCGTCTTGCACGCCATGGCTCTCCTGCAATTATACCAAGCCAAGGCACTAAAAGAGCTGCACAAGGGTAGTTCTGACCCAGGGCTGATGCAGGAGCAGCGCACAGCGACGGACCTCGCCCTGAGAGCGACGAAAGTCACTGCGCGCTCCCTTGGTCAGATGATGGCCACGTTAGTGGTCCAAGGATGCCATCTCTGACTGAACCTGGCGAATATGCGGGAGATCGACAAATATCGTTTTCTCGACTCCCCTATCTCCCAGGCCGGCCTATTCGGCGATGCAGTCGAGAGCTTTGCCCAACAGTTCTCGGCTGCCCAGAAGCAGACGGAGGCGATCAAGCATATCCTGCCCCGGCGGCCCGCTGCTGCTTTCACCCCGTTGCTGGCTGCAGCTGCTCCGCCTGCTCGTCGCCCCCCGCAGCTTCCTCCGCCCCTGCTCAGCCTCAGCAGCGTGCACCGAGGCCACAACAAGGTGCTATCCGCAGGGGTGCGGCGCTGCCCATTCAGGCCCCTGTCAAACCAGGCAGCAAGTGCAAATGCAAGCGGCCCTGAGACGGGCAACTCAGCGATGGAGGGGACAGCTCTTCGGGAGATGGTGACCGCACCACTAACTCCCCCGGAGGAGGGCCAGGTGGAGAATCTTTTGTTTCCTTTTCGTTCCCTTCCGATTCCGTTCCTGGTACCTAAACCATCAAAAAAAAAGAGCAGTATCCACTATCTCTTGGTACCAAGAGGGCGCGGATGACGTTGTCACGCTATGCCTGGCCAGCCTCATCCCCCTCTTCTATCGCAGGGCCCGGTTCAAGGACGCCATGCCTTCTCCCGCACCCCCTGCCCAACTGTGGAGCCAGGTAGGTGTTGCACCGCACTCCCAGACCCCACTTCGGTACGTCTGTGGTTCCTCTGGTCCTGCTTGTACGGTTTCTGGGAGCCTGGCTAGCGCTCCCCAGCCCGTCTCGCTGGCTCATTCGGACCGTCAGACTCGGCTATGTGATTCAGTTCGCCCGGCGTCCCCCCAAGTTCAGGATCATCCAGTTCACCTCCGTGCTGACTAGAGATGCTCCTGTCTTACGGGCAGAAATCGCAGTCCTGCTGGGAAGGACAATAAAGAGCCGGTCCCTCCAGACGATATGAGGTCGGGGTTTTACAGCCCTTGCTTCAAGGCGGTGGGTAATGACCAATCTTGGACTTGTGAGTTTTGAACCGGGCCCTTCACAAGCTACCGTTCAAAATATTGACACAGAAATGCATTTTCGAATGTATCCGTCCCCGAGATTGGTTTTACAGCTGGTCCCTGGGGCCTACGCAAATATGCGTTTCCCCCAGTGAGCTTACTTGCACAGACACTGTGCAGAGTCAGGGAGGACGAGGAGCAGGTCCTGCTAGTTGCGTCTTACTGGCCCAACCGGACCAGGTTCCCAGAACTGATGCTCCTCGCGACAGCACCTACCTAGCGCATTCCTGAATATGAAATCTCACGGAAACTTGCGAGATCAAATGTGACTTGTGAAGAAAAACAAATGGAGGATGATCAACATCGTCAGCTGGTTCTCCTGCCATGGGTTTTGTTTTACGGGGAAAAAAAAAAGGGAGAAAAAAAGAATATGGGTGCTCTTGCGCGATCAACACAAAAAGTTGCTTGTGTGGGTACGCACAGAAGTTTTGGAAGGCCAAACAAAGTAGTTTTGCTTTCACAACGAAACACACAGCGCCTTCACGACATGACGGCGGCGGCAACAACAACAATACTACAGCGAGAAGAAAAGTTACGCCTTCTTTCTTTGCGTGAACATTTGGGCGGCGTTATGCAAATCTTCCCACATCGTGACGTAGACCTGTGGGGGCGTGTTAGAACGAGCCGTTTTAGGTAGGCGTGGCTGACTCTTATCTTTTATAAAGAATATCTCTTTGGATTTGAGACTTTAGTCTTTGCAACTTTACAGATCTTCTTTATGCACCAAGAGCTTGTAACACTCCAAAGAGAAAGGAAAAATTGAAATCGCATCATATGACCCCTTTAAGATTTGTTAAAATCCACTCAAAAGCGAACAGGCAGCCAGTGTAGTGAGCATAAAATAGGAGTGATATGCTCCCTCTTTTTAACCCCACTCAAGAGTCGAGCCGCAGCATTTTGAACCAGCTGCAAATGGGATAAAGCTGTCTGGCTAATCCCAAAATAAAGTGATTTGCAGTAGTCCAGGCTAGATGAAATAAAAACATGAATTACTTTTTCAAAATCTTTAAAAGAGAGAAAAGGCTTTGCTTTAGAAAGCAAACGCAGCTGAAAAAAGCAAGAGACAGGACCGTTTTTAACCCACATTTAACATTATCATCCTCCAAACACACACCTGCCGATCGTAGAATAATTTTCACAGTAATATGAGATTTCACGGAAACTTGCGAGATCAAATGTGACTTGTGAAGAAAAACAAATGGAGGATGATCAACATCGTCAGCTGGTTCTCCTGCCATGGGTTTTGTTTTACGGGGGAAAAAAAACAAAGGAGAAAAAACCCAAAACTGTATTAACAGTCTTCTACCAGCCAAGACTTGCTTTTAACAGGTTTTGGGTTTTAGACAACTTTGCTGACTAGTTGTTCTCAGAGGTGGAAAGTAACGAATTACATTACTCGCATTACTGTAATTGAGTAGGTTTTTTGTGTACTTCTACTTTTTAAAGTAATTTTTAAAATCTGTAATTTTACTTTTACTTAATTGTATATTTTTGAAGTATTGTACTTCGTTACATTTTAAAAAACATTAATTACTGAGTAAAAAAATAAAATAAATCGCTCCCTGGAAACTACTGCAGTAAATAATGGGTAGGAGAGAAAACTGGCGCTAAAATCACAAGAAAGATGCAGACGGACAAGACGCGTTATGGTGCAGACCCAGCTGAAAACAAAACCCCGTCGTATTCTGATGAAGTTGAACTCGAAAGGAAATGAAGTGAACCTCTGGCCATATTTAAGCTCTATTATGCAGTAAAAGCTGTGTTTTTCTAGGGAGACCAAACTAGCAGCTTATAAAATGTCGACATCAACCCTTCGCAAGCATGTAGAGATAAGATAAATACTTGCATCGTTGCATTGGTGGTTAAAATGAAGCTTTGACAGTTTAGCAAAAGGTTTTGCACA